GTGACCCTGGGCAACTGATTTCACCCACTTTGACTCAGTTTCCTCTTCTGTAAAATGGGGATAATAATAGCACCCACTCCCGGGATTGCAGTGAGGATGAAATGAGATAACAATTGTAAAGTACTCAGCACGGTGCCTGGCACTATGTAAATGTTAGCTATTATTACTATCATCATCATCATCATCATTATTGTTATTAAGTGCTATAGAAATTTCACTATTATTATTGTTATTATTAATGGAATGTTTCACAATTTAGAGATCAGACCAATGGACTTCCTATGATGCGTAACTCTCTCTTATCTCTACTGAGCTCTAGAAAAAAGCCAGTCCCCAAAATCTACACTCAGAGGTAAAAGATTACAGCGGGGACATGTAGCAGAAAATTGGGATTGACAACTCAAAAGAGGACCATTAGTGAGGAGAGAAATACAACGTGGAAGAGTAGAGAGACCGCAAGGGTAGGCATCAAATAGCCTAGCTTTGAATGCTCGCTTAGCTCCTTATTGCCTGTATGACCTTACACAAGTCACTTCCTTTTCCTTATTTGTAAAAGAAAGAAGTTGTACTAGATCAGGGGCTTTTAACCTTTTTTTGTGTCATGGACCCTCTGGGCAGTCTAATAATAATGTTTCTTAAATGTGCAAAATAAAATACAAGATTACAAAGGAAAACCAACTATATTGAAAGACAGTTATCAAAATATTTTTAAAAACAAGTTCATGGATCCCAGGTTAAGAACTTCATAAGGAAAGTAGGAAGTTAGCATTTATATAGTGCCTACTATGTGCCAGGCAGTATACTAAGTGCTTTACAAATATTATATTATTTGATCTATACACAACAACCTTGTTGAGGTGGGTGCTATTATTACACACCCATTTTTCAGATGATGAAAGTGAGGCAGACAGAAGTGACCTTCCCAGGGTCACCCAGCTAGTAAGTATATGAGGCTGCATTTGCACTCAGGGCTTCCTCACACCTAGCCCAGTGATCTATTACCAAGCTGCCTCTGGACTAAATGATCTCTCCTGTCTCTAAATCCTATAATCCTGTTTGATTCCTTACCTCCCCTTAGCCATGGCTAAATCTCTAATCCTTGCTCTGACTCCATTTCCTGCCAAAGGACCAAACTCCAAATATAGCAAAACCATTATGACAGAAATAACGACAAGAATAACAATTATAATAGGGGGCACTTACATAGTGGTTTTGTTGGGGTTTTTTTTTTACATAATGTTTTAAGTTTCGCAAAGCTCTTTTTATATGTTATCTTATTTGATCCTCATAATGGTCTTGGAAAGTAGATGCTATTATTATCCCCATTTTACAGATGAGAAAACTGAAGCAAAGAGAGGTCATCCTCAGTGTCATACAGTTCAAGTAATTGAAGCAAGTCTGAGTTTAAGTTCTCAGTTCAACTGTGATGCACTGAACCATGAGCTATCTTCAATAATTTTTAGTCTTATTTTATTCCATTTTTTTTTTTACTCCCAAGTAGGATCAGTAGAGTGCTTTGCTGGAGGCCTAATTTCTTTCTGCTTAGAAGAGATGACAGAATCTTCCTCTGCAAGGTATTCCTTGTACCCAGATGATGTCATAAAGGGTATTGGATCGAGTGCTTGTCGGCATACTTTGGCCATTATTTAAAAGAAATGCACCTACAGCATAAATTATCTATGTACAACAGAAAGGAAAGGACAGTGGGGCCAAGGGAAGAGAAGGCATAATGAAAAAATACAAATATGAAAACAGCTGGGGGGGAGGGTTAGATTCTCTCCACTCACTGCTGCCCTCCTCCCACCTCAAGGACATCAAGATCTGACAGGCTGTGCTGATAAGACCCAAGCTGTTTTGCTTGCTGTCCTTACCCACCTGGCTAATGGAGCAGGAGTCCAGGATGGGATCTTCCTGCCGATGACATCTGACTCTGTTACAGGTACAGAGCTCAGAGGACAATTTTGTCACTGATGCATGAGGCACAGCAGAACCCATAGTCCTCAGGGTTCTGGCAGGACTGCAAACCGGGGCTGCCAATAAGAATCAGGAGGACTGGGTCCAAAAAGGAGCTGGGAGGCAGAGGCAAAGGGGGCATTTTTATGCTGCAGTTAGGATTTTTCTGACAGTAACAGCACTTTTAAAGCCAGCACTGAAGTTCCCCTAATGCAAAGGCTTTAATTTAGTCCTTTCTGGCAAAATAATACCTTACTTAGCATTTAGCACAAGAGTTCTTAACCTTTTTCATGCTATGGACCCCTTTGGCACTGTGGTAAAATCTATGGACCCCCTTTTCAGAATAATATGGTTTTTATTTTAACAGAATAATTTTTAAATATAGCATTAGAAAATACTAAATTTCAGTTAGAGGTCAATGAAAACAGAGAATTTTTTCCAACCCAAGTTCATAGACTCCTTGAAATCCATCTAGAGACCCCTTAAGGGTCCAAGGATCCCAGATTAAGAGTCTCTGCTGTAGAAGAAATATATAAAAACCAACACTACTAAAATTATAATCTCAAACTTACTTTAACATTTGTCATTCAAGGCCCTCAAAGCACTAGATACTCAAAAATCCACATTTCACATCTACAAAAGAAGATGAAAGAGCACCATTTCCTCCCCATTTTACAGGTGTTAAAACTGGGGCACAAGAAGACTCAGTGGAAAAAGCATTTTCTTTCAGCCGTCCTGGCCAGTCTCTCATACTAAAGGGGGTGGGGCAAGGGGTTGGAGGCCTCTGAATCCTAACCCAAGACTCTGAGAAAACAGCCTGGGCTTTCATATATCAATACCAATATCCAACCTTATTGAGGGATTGAGCACTGGCTAACCCTGGCTCTTTTCCAAGGAGTGGGGTTCATTTAGATGTTCTGTAGCCTAGCACCTCTCTCCAGTTACAAGTTAAAATTCTTCAGAAGTTAGTTCCCCTTACTACAAGCCCATCAAGCAACCTAATTTTTTTTTTAGCAATTTGCTGCTTTTTCCTTAAATTCTCCTTGCCCAAGAGCCCCATCCCCACCACTTCCACCTGAAGTAACAAAAACCAGTCCTGTAAATCAATCCATCACTCAACCACTAGGGACCAGAAAAAAACAACTAATCCAATCACAAACATTCCTACTTTAATGCCCACACCGGTCCATGGAACCTAACACTACCCCAAATGGGTCCATTTTCCATTCTTCCCTGAAGGTCACTAAAGAGATGGAGCTGTTGACTGAGTTGGTATGTCAGTTTGGCAAGTGAGTTCCGTGTCCCACAAACTTGGAGAATTTACTTTGTAGTTGCATTCATTCATAGCCTGAGGCTCACCCAGCTCAGTTCACCCTGAAACCTCACCTTTCCCCAATTCCCTTCTATAAAGCAGAGAGCTAAACCTGCTTTCCATTCAGAAGCTAACTCGAGCTCTGAAAAGACTCTTCTTCTTAGAAGGTGAATGAGAAATCAGGATAACCCTGTCACAGGATCAGAGTCAGGCAGCCATTAAATTCACAATTTTCCTGGAGAAGAAACCTTTCCACTGAAGACTGGGGATTTGGTCCTTGTATTGCAGGTAAAATGAATGAACCTCTCCCCTAAGAGATATCCCACACTCCACCCTCAGGACTGGCCTTCTCCTCCCTCTTGTGTGAAGAGGAAAGGAAAGAATGAAATCTCCCAGTGACTGCTTTGAATAGTAAAGGCAGGAAACTTGTAACTAAAGCACAAAGAACTCAGGAGAACTAGATGTACCAGATGCCCAAGGTTACACAGTCGGAAAAAGCTCTGTGCGCTTTCTGACTCCTCTCCCTAAGAGACAGATGTAAGCAACAGCAGGAGAAAAGACAGGGGGGACAAAAAACAGCAAACACCTGCCTATGTTGGGGGAAGGGTCTGGAGATGGGGAATGGGGTGAAACCAGACAGTCCCTGAGGAAAACTGGGGTCGAGAGAGGAGAAGTAAAGGGGTAGGGAAGGACAAGAGAAAGGAAAAGGGAAAGACCTAGAAGAGATGCTAGCGTCTCAGTGTCCTTGCCAGAGAAAGGTCTGTGCAGTCCTTGCCTCTCATCCCCACCCCCAAATCTCCCTGCTGAATGAAGAGAATCATGTCTAGCTGCAAAAGGGGTCTGGGATCAGGCTGCAGTGCAGGGCACTCCCTTGGCAGACGGAGGTGTCTATGTGTAAACCCTCCTTCCCCAGCCTCCTCTCCCCCTCCGCCCCCCAACAACCTGCTTTTCCTGGTACAGTAATGATGATTCTGGAAGGCTCCCTGTCTCCTTTCTCCCAAGAATCCCTGTTTTCACCATTTCTGGGGCAGCAAGGACCCAAAGGTTTTTGATCCATCCGGGGAAGGGGGAGGTTGGAACTGTTTTCCCTATGGTTTCCCCCCATCCCAATTTCCGTCCCCTGTGTCATTAGCACCTCTGGACCCGAACCTTTCAAACCCTGGCACGCCCCCAAGTTTGGCTCCTCCCTTACCCCCCAAGATCCTAGCACCCTTCCCCACCCCCCCAGTTCTACCTGGGCTGCTCCCCCCAGCCGGTGAGGGCTGGAGAGGACAGAAGGCCATCCCTTGCGTCTGTCCTGCTACCCCAGGGGATGTTTGCCTCCTACGACCTACTACAGGAGACCGTAATGAACGATGAGCCCATTCCCCTTTCCTCCTCTTTCCCCAACGCCCCTTTGTTCCAGGCGAGGGAAAGTTGCCAGTTTGCACCTCTCCCTCCCTCCCCAACCCCCGCAGGAAAATCAACCCCAAACATGCAACCTTCTCGGGAGCCAGACTCGAAAGCGAAAGCAAAGGAGGACCAGGGATGAAACACCCTACAGCGTGCGCGCGCACGCCCAACACACATTCATACACTCACAGACCCCAACAGATCCACACACACACACATACACACACGTCACCCCTCCGATGCCCACCAGCCGCCTCGCCCTCCCCTTTTCTCCCCCTCCCCGCCCGGCACTGGCCACCTCCCCGCTGCAGGAGGCCTCTCCAAAGGCTCCAAGCGCACCTACCAGTGCGGGGACCAGAGACCGAGACCACTGGCGCGGGGCTACGGGGCCCGCCGGGCCAGCCGTCCGCTGCAGGTGCTGCCCAGGAGCGAGCTCTCAGCTCCCCTGTGCGTCCTCCTCCTCCCGGGGCTGGAGCGCTCGCCTCCTCCGCCTGCTCCCCACCCCCACGGCAGCCTCTCCGGGGCGCGCACTGGCTCGCATTGGTCGTAACTGGTCTGCGCCTCTCTGTTCTGCCACTCAGACCCGCATTGTCTTCTCCTGCTTAGGAAGATGCCTGCAGAGCGAGAGGGCAATTGCGGCCGTGGCTGAAGATTTCAATGTACCAGTGGCACTCACCCATAGTATGGATGCGGTTGCAGACTGCACATGCTCCTTTCTGCCGGTCGGCCTTCCCCCAATCCTGCCTTAACTCCTTCACTGCTTGCCCTGGCTAGCGCCTGGCAGGGTCGATCTCCTCTTCTTTCTACGCCCCTGGGCTAGAGATTGTTGGGGGATTGGAAGAGAAGGAGCCCCAGATGAGGATGGAAAACAAATTTATGTCCCCGGTTGTATGGTACAGGTGTCCACTAGCCTTGATTCCTTTACCCTCTTTTCTTCTTACTCATCGCTTCCAGACCTGCAGAAGCCCCACTTCTCTCTTCTCCTTGTATATTTTCCGGATTTCCCAGCTTGAGATCCCCCCCTCTGCACACACACATACACACACACACGCACACGCACACGCACACACACGAGTGTAGCAATATCCACAGATGTTTCAGGTTTGGGTTTATCTGTAGGCTGGGGCTACTTAAAGTACATGCCATCTAGCTGCCAAGTGAAATATGTTTACTCTTTCTGAGGATGATCTGGGTATAGCTGAAAGTCAGAGCGTCTGGAGCTTCCACACAGGGGCTCAATTTGCTGAAAAACCTGAAAGTCTGTACCTGTTATGGCCTTGGTTTTCCCTTTGCTAGATGGAAAAAAAAAATCTTTCCCTATATAGCCATGTTCCAGTGCTTAATGATGAGGCAAACATGACCTCTGATTCCCAAAAGCTCTGTCTGTGTCACAAGAGTAACAGGTGCTCATGCTATGTCATGTTCTCTTTAATTATTCTGATTTATTTATTTGCCTCAGGCTGTTGATAATTTGAAGGCAGGAGTGTCAGTGTTGCTAAAGATCTCTGCGCCCCTCCCTCTCACTGGGACTGCACCAAAAGTGTGCTCATGGCAGAATGAAGAAGCCCTTTGAATGGAGGGATGGAAGGAGCTGTCCCCTATATATTCTCTTGCTCTGGAGAAAGACTTCCTGTCACTCTTTGCGTTCAGCACCTGGAACAAACAGAGACATTATAGGCTCTGGCTTTGGCCCTTCTGCCCTTGAGACAATAACTTCCAGCTGATGGCAGTTGTGGCCTTCGGGCTGCATTTTGTCCCTAGAGGTGCGATGGAAAAAGTGAGATCATAATGAGACCCAGAACAGGGACCACAGTGAGGGGCAACCTAGGTCCAGAGAATAGTCAATCAGGGACCAGCGTGGAGAGGTAAGTAGACCAGGTAGCAGAGACAAGGGGCTTGGAAAACCTCAGTGCCTGAGAAGGTCAGGAGACTAAAACACCTTCTGACATTGCCCCAGGTTTCTTCCTTGCTTTTACTGTTCTAATCTAGGATACAGAGCTGGGCCTTGGATTACATACAGCTTCAATTCCCGTATGCCTTTTCCATTACCTGCAGGGATGGGAGGAAGATGTGGTTGGGCAGAAAACTTGGGTAGGAATACTGAAACGTTTCCCTTTATGTTTGTGCTAAATAAACTACATGGCTGCTGAGTATTTATTGTTTGTGTAACATAAAAGGTCAAGACGAAGCTAGTAAATTTACCAAAGAAAGGGTAGGGCTCTAGGGCTTTATATTTTGTCATTTTAATAATCCCAAACAATATCCCTATGTAAGAATTCAGAATCCAGTCAGTGAGGGTTTCTTTTTTTTTCCCCAGTCATCTGACTTTTTATTTTATTTATATTTTTTTATTTTATTTATTTATTTTATGATATGTATTATGTATTTTATTTATAAATCATTTGACTTTTTATTGCTTGGCAGGTTGGGAGATTCACACGTGTGCCATGGAAGAGATCTCCTATGCATGTGTCAGAGAGACCTTGATGAGACCATTGGGCTGGTGCCTTGGGTATATAACACTATTTGGTGAGCAAATTAAGTTTTTCTGACTGGTTAGTTAATAAAGTTTCTTCCCTGTGTTTCTGCAACCTTTTCCAAGGCAATAACGAACCTTTGTGGGCTGCTTGTACTACTGCAGTATCGTAAGTGTCATATGGAATACCCATGAAATACATACGGCATACAACCCTATCTAACAAGCTTTAATAGGTCTTGTCCTACAAAACTGGAGAAAACAGGACATCTGGTGTCTGAGACCCAGCCTAGTTAAGTTGGGGGAGACATCACCAGAAGGCTGGCTACCTTTTTGTTATTATTCAGTCACGTCCAGCTCTTCATGACACCATTTGGGGTTTTCTTGGCAAAGATACTAGAATGTCTTGCCATTTTCTTCTCCATCTCATTTTACACATGAGGAACCTTATAAGGCAAACAGGGTTACGTGATTGCCCAGGGTCACACAGCTAATTAGTGTGTGAGGCCAAATTTGGACTCCTTAAGATGAGTCTTCCTGACTTCAGGCCTGACACTCTATACACTGCTCCACCTAGTTGCCTCTACCTGGCTTACCTACCAAGTGATGAATTTGTTGTCTGTTACTTCAATTAATATATGCATGAGTTGTGATCTTCATCATGGGAGGGAAGACCTTTCCTAATGACATTGCCTATCTTTTCAAATATTCAAGCAAATGGAAGATAATGTCAAATGTGATCTAGAAAGTGCTTGGAAATCTTTGGAAGCACTGTTGTTTTGGGATTGGAATGTATTGGCCACATTGGGTTCTAGGCGCCTGGTGGCCTGAGTGGTCTAAGGCCTTGCTTCAGAGATACTGTGTTCATTTAATGGAAGATGGAGAGAGGAGGCTCCACTGTCTCTTCACTTCTTTAGAAATAGGACAAAGAGGGGCAGCTAGGTGGTGCAGTGGATACAGCACCGGCCCTGGAGTCAGGAGGACCTGAGTTCAAATCTGCTCTCAGACATGACACTTACTGTCTGTGTGACCCTGGGCAAGTCACTTAACCCCATTGCCTAAGCCAAAAAATCAAATAGGACAAAGAGACTCCAGGGGAGGGTACCTAATAATAAGTTCATCCAGTCAGAGCCTGTCCCTTCTATGGCCAGAAAGCCTTACTACTTCTCTAAATTCTTGACTTCTTGGGAATCCATTTATTCCCTTTTAATTGCCTGATTTGGTGATTCTCCCTCAGTTGTTCTCAGGTCACTGGTTTCTTCTTACCTTAAAGATCAATATCAGAGGTGAAGACTTATCTGCAGATGAGTGAAAGGTCCCAAACAGAAAATTTTCATCCCACCTCCATGTTCAGTATGTCTCTGGGCAAACTAATCCTTTGTGGTCTGAGCAGAAACTGGGGCAAGGTGAAGAAAAAAAGGTGAATTGCACAAGGCTCCCAAGACCTAGCTGTGAAGCTGGCCTGGCGGTTGCTTTTTCTGGCTTCTTGACTGAATTTCAACCCTCCCTACAAGTATTCAGAGATGGCCATACGAGATAGACATCCTCCCTAGGGAACTTGAAAGAGAGGATACTTTCACAGGACAATCCTGGTAGAAAAATCTTTGTGAATCATCAGGTATGTCACTCTCATACTTGCTGATCCAGGGTGACAAATGTCAGGGTGGGAACTCATTTTTCTAGATCACTTTTAGGAGATCTCAGGTAGACCCAATTCTCCATGAGGCAGCATGATATAGAGAAAACACTAATGGCACATGCACCGTGAACTAGTTATGAGACTTTGGACTGTTCGTTTAGTCCCTCTAAACCTTAGTTTCCTCATCTGTAAAGTGGGGATGATAATATTTGCCATTCCTAAGCTTCACTGTGCTGTGAAGACCAAAGGAGATGAAGCCTTTAAGATTTTAGAGTTCTATGTAAATGCCCCGCAGGAGTATCCAGAAGCCCTCATCATAGTCACCCTTTTCGTCTTGGACTCTGCTAGATCTCCTCTATCACAATGGCAAATACCTTTGGGGAGCATGCATCTCCCTGCTTTATGCCCTGCAAGGTCACTGAACAGAGTTATTTCTGGCATTGTGTACAGGAAGGGATGTTGAATGGTTTTGATATGTGGATGATGATAAATAACCTTGATTTTTTAAAAAGCCTTTAAGGCAGCATTTCACTCGATCAAAGTAAATGCTTTTTTATAATCAAGAAACAATAACCACAATGGGATATTACATTCTCTGTGTCTTTTCTTTGATTGCTAAATGGCAAAGATGCAATCTGTTGTTGAATATTGCTTGCAAAAACTTGCTTGTTGTCCATTTACCAGTGTGATGGAGGAGATCCCACAGAGTACCAGATGAAAAAGGTGGCTGTCTATGGTGAGGTCCTCTGGATACTCCTGCGGGGCATTTATATAGTACTTTAAAATCTTAAAGGCTTCATCTATTTTGCTCTTCACAACATTGTATTGGTTGCAGCAGTCATCTTAGCTCTGGTGCAAAGTCCCAGAAACACTACAGAGCCTCTTGTATGAGAATTACAACGACTCAAAAAAAGTTGGCCCAACTATCCACCCAGGAAAGACTGAAGAAGGTCTATTATCAGCCAATCACATTCATTTGGATGGAAACTTATAGAACCTGTCCATGACTATGTATGTCTCGGATGGCCAGTACAGATGGACAAATGAGTTGGGCCTGGAGCTGAACAGAAGGAAGAGAGCAGGCTGGGTTGCCTTCATGAAAATGCAGATTTCCTTAAATGATTCCAGGTTTCCCATGGAAACAATCGTCCATCTTTTTAATGCCAACATTTTATAAGTATTAGTGTATTGCAACAAGGTTATGATATTGGATAACGATAGTCTACAAGAAAATTAAAAATGGAGATCATACAGAAGGCAATAGAGAAGTGTATGGTGGGTCTGAGGAGGCTGAAACATGTAACCGGTGAGGAATTTGAAGAAAAAAGAACAGGAATAAAAATTGTCATCAAGGAAATTGTGTCACATGGCGAGGACAGGGGAGAGGATGTGGACAGCAACGATGCTCCACTGGTATCCTTACAATTTTAGGAGAAATTGAGGGAGGACTCTGACCTCTTAAGTGGGCATTCTATGGCAAACTTATGGGTACGCAAAGAAGAAATTTACACAGAATGGGCAGGCATGCAATCTATTGCAGTCTGTAGCATTGGAAAGAAATCCCAAATCAATGAGATCTCAGATACATGTAATTGTATAAATGCCAGTAGTTATCATTAGCAATCATAATAATTATAATTAATAAACAAGTATTTACTGGCTTCTTGATATGTGCCAGGCACTATGCTGGGCGGTAGGGATACAAATATAAAATTATCTATTATATTTGCTAACCAAGTTTAAATAGTCCCTACAGAGACTTTGGGAATCTCTGTACTGACAAAAGAGAGGGAGGAGAATTTTTGGAGATGGACAGCTTAATATTCATCTCTGCAGAGTCTGTTTGAGGTAAGGAGAGAGGACTAACCGAACTTCATTCCTGAGAATATTTGGACAGCTACGGGTCATGGCAGGAGGTGTCTGCATGAGACACTTGGAGAGAAGTGAATTTGACTCCCATTCCCAAGGGGATCAGAAGGGAAACTGAGTTGT